AGTATATGAGGACCCTAGTGTTATTCCCAGTCTGGCTTGTGGTCACTGTGATGTTGTGTGTGGCTCCCAGTGACTTCTCGCGAGCATCCTAGCGCTCGTAAAGGTTATTAGGAAATAGACGGATCTCTGCAAGCCTGTTAGTTGATGGTTTAGAGTGATCCAATAGTTCCTAGACTTTAAGGCCCGCTTACACCAACTTCAGAAATCCGCCGGATACTGTTCCATCGAGACGCAAGTTGCGATCACTGGCCCCTGGGCAAATTGTCAACATACCTCAAACCCATAGCGCGTAAGAGCACTGGGCTTGCGCTGCTCTGAAAGTAGTGAGAAGAGGTACGCTCCTCAAACCTGTAGAGCATGTCTTTGAGAACATGACCCATTTTCCCTCTAGTCCCGTGACACCGCCTCCAACTCATCCTCATCCTCTCGCTCTCTCTCTCTCTCTCTATCTATCTACCTATCTATCTATGTTATCATATATAAAGGCATGTGTACATGTGTATTGGTTATCTCCAATTTATCTCCTCTTTATGACATTGCTGCTGCAAGTTACCTTAGCCAGAATATGTACGAATGTGCTGATATTTGGTCCTCTCCAGGGGATGTAGGGTTGTGTAAGGTGTCTGGTTCAGGGTTTGGAAATGGAAAACAAAATGGAAGCTACTATTTCAGCCTGAGGGTTTAGGATCCCCTTACCCTAAAAGCAGCCTCTCCGTTCTCAAATAGTATAAGGGTTTTCTAGATAGTATGGGGGGATCTGTTATTGGGAGGGTCCGGGGACAGTTGATACTAGGGCAGGGGATTACTCCAACTAACCACAAGTTAAAGTTCTTCCATTGGCTAAGTAGGTTTAGAAGACAATGGCAGGACTGAATTCGGAGCCCTCGTGGCCAACTACGATGGCGCCGGCCCAAGCATTGAGGCTGTGAAGGTGCTATGGATGGAGCCTCGTCCAGCGAATGTCTAAATCTTCTCTCTTCCCCAATAACCAGGGCTAAAAAAAGTGTAAACTTTATTTTAGAGACCTAAAAAGGAATCCCAAAAAGGTTTAAGTTCTTCCATTGGCTAAGTAAGTTCTAGCCCGTCGGCAGATCCTTTCCACGCATATGCTGAAACAAGAGTGTCTCGTCTTAGCTTCCTGGTCGGGTAGTTTACAACTCGGCTTGGTACATGTGGGTTTAACTCAAATAGCGCGTTTCATTGCATCCACTACCACGTACGTCTAAAACTTGCTTCCAATTTCTTCCCAAGCTCTTCTTCTGTTCTAGTCTGTAGCCTGTACATATTTCCCTGACTAAGTAAACCAGGCTACCGGCTCCTGAAAAAGTTGCATGAAGCGGGGATTGGTACCATTTGCCTGCGCGCTACCTGGCCATCGACACAAGAGGGGACTGCAGCAATCCCACCACTCAAGAGATTAGGATCCAATAGATTCCTATGACGATGATGGAATCCTTCTTTGTGGCTTGCGCTTACCAAAGCCCCCATATAACCTTTCAGAATCCTCTCAGAATGCTCTTTCAACCTTCTAAAACCCCTATAACCCACTTATTAGTAGAGAAGGTCGATGAACTTTTCACTATGAGCTGGGTTGAGCTGGGTACGACAAGCTGGCAAAGAACCCCCTTCGCCCTACAACAGCAGCCCCCCATAAATAACAACCCCAATGGATGACCATGACAAGGGGGAATAATCATCATTAGGGTCGGTGCATGGGGTTCTTAGAGGGCAGGTGATTGATCCCCTCCCCCTAGAGTTAGAAGGTATGTAGGGGAATGGAAAAGCAAACGCAAGCTACTGTGTGATTCAGGGTGCAGAATTTACATCGCGGATTATGGGTGTATCTAGGGGATGTCATAGAAAATGGCAACGACACAACTACTAGATGTTGAAGGCTTATGCAGGTTTCAGGGTTTGGGTGTAGGGATATCACCCAACCATGGAGAATACGGACAAAGATAATGGACATTGAAGATGAAGCCAGGGTTACTTAGAGGCATAATCAGGTTCGTAGGGTAGGGATCTGGGGTCCAGAAAAGGGGGTGCAGGGGTTATTAGGGTTTACGACTTAGAGTTTAGGCATGACCTTGGAGGTAGTATCGGGCATGTGATTTAGGGTTTAAGAATAGAGAATGAAGACCTGTACAATATTTACTGTTTGGGGTTTTGGGTCCCCTCCAAGAGTAACGATAATCCCCACCCCCCTCAGAATTATTCTTCTCAACACTAGTAGGGGAAATATTCATTGTTGGGTAAGTGGAGGACTATCAAACTATCAAAAGCTGTATGCCCACTCAGTCCCGGATTGTTGGGGGAGCACGGGCTATCCATCTACTGCGAATCTGACAATGCGCGCCTAAACCCTAAACCCTACACCCTAAACCTTCAATCATGTGGCTTGGAAGTAGTCACCTGCCTTTCTTCTACTTAGTTGGCCGTTGGAGCTCACTTGAAAAAATCAGTATACAGGGTCCTTAGGAAATCAGTAAGGGAAAAGGTTTCAAATAGGGTTAGGAGTTAGGGGTTCAGGGTCCTCATGAAACCAATCAGGGATATTTACCGTATATGTCCCAACGCCGAACCCAGTATAGGAATGTAGGAACGGAACTCATTTAAACACCTGGTTGCCGGAGGCAAGCCCAAAATGAACATAATAAAGCCTTCATAGGCGCCTACTTGTGTGATTAAGGGAGGGTGGGGAGGGAATAGAGGTTCAACCAAACGGGTACATGCGTATACAAAATATACATATAATAGTGAAGATTACAGAGAATCTGGAAACAACAGGGACCCTTCCAGTTCTCATCCCCCCAAGAATTTCAAATCACCACGCTTCCTGCAACAAATGGATGGACGCTTCATGCACTCAGCCACTTCAGGTGTGTCTGAGAAGTATTTTAGGTGGACTCCCGACCCACTAACAATGACTATAAGAGATAATTAATGAGGATTATACTATATTATGGTCCTCTTAAAACGGGCGGGGGGGTCCTCCTAAGAGTACCCCTGAATGCCAGATCACCTCTCAAACCCGCCACACTGCTCAGAGACCTTGCAGCACCGGATTCCAGAGTCTAAGGACTGCCAGAGCCCTTGGCTCAAAAACCTAGGGTTCAGGGTAGATACGGTCTCCGTGAAATCTGCAAAGCAGGCGTCAAGACCTGATTCCGACAGGTCTGTAGCAACCGGTGGCCCCACAAAATGGGAGACTTTTTGAAACAAAACAGGAGGCCAAGGATCCCAGCAATATGTAGGAAATACACGCAGACTATAGGGGCCCCAATTAAGTTGTGCATAAGATTGCTCTGAGAAACTCCCATATCTCTATCTTTAGCATCAAGCCCTCCTCATCTTTTCTCAGCCCCCCCCTATGCCCTGGAGGCAACTATGTATCACCTGCCAAAAGAATGAATAGCTCACACTATGTGTCACCTGCCAAAAGACTAGGATCCTCACTGTCAAGCTCCCATGAGAGCCTTGCAATGTTGAGGAACGCATTCGACCTTAATCCGCATCTTTATACATAATCTCTTGACCCCTGTGCACACACGGGCTTATGCAGATGCACCTCAAAATCGGGAACCTTGAAACCTCAACACCTGATAGAAATTGTAAGTTCAGCTGTCTTCTCGGATTGTAGATAACAGAAATTAATTGTCAAAACAATGTTTTCAGGAAACTTCCAGGAACTCCCCGGCGCACTTGGAAGCAAGGTGTACCTTCGCGTGGTGTGCGTTGGCCATCCCGAGGCGTGCCATTCACCAAGACGCGTGGGGTGCCTGCGGATCTTACAGTAAGGGGGTTTATAGGGGCTATATAGGGCTATATAGGAAATAATGGAAAAGAACATGGAAACTACTATGTAGGGTCGATTCTTTTAGGGTTTCGGGGTTTAGGGCTTAGGGCTTGATCAAAGGGTTACTACCCCTGAGAGGATCCAAATATCACATCCCGTATAATAGACACACACAATACCCCCTCTATAATTTGCCGTATGGTTCTGGGGGATCTGATTCTTAGATCCCCTTGAGGGTCTGGGTTCTGGCTGAAAGAAAAAGCAACATTAAGGGCTTTGCGTATTCAACTGTTACTGTTACCGAGCGAGGGCAGTATCCAACTCATGGCTGATGTATGAACCGAAAACAACAAAGCAGGTCATCGGCTGGCGCTTTCTGCAACTGATCCAGACCGCAACACTCATGTTCTCTAACGCCAATACTAGCAAAAGACCCTTTAAGTGGCTCAAAACGTGGGAGGGATCTAGCTGGGCTGAAGGATCCCTGTTGCAGACTTCATTACTTTGACGTGTATCTCCTGTACCCCACCTTTCTTTACCTCACCTTCTGATCCCTCTGAACTTGCAATTTGGAAGAATCCACATAAACGCGAGAAACATGGGTGCCTTTTTTTCGTGGTGCATTCAGCGGCTGCATTTCGTCTCCATCTCCTGTTCCTTTACAGCCATACGTTCATGACCAGGACGGTTGGGTAGCCGCAACTCCAAACAAGGATCCGACTTGTGTCACAGGATATTTATAAGTACGGGCCCCTGATTTCGTGGGTAAGGATATCGAAGTAACCCTGGATGATTTCAAAGTAGGGTTCGGGTGCTGAACCCATCAGCTCTTTGGAAGCCTGCACGTGAAAGTCCTCCGAGAGCAGTGGGCGTGAAACTGAGTCCTGCAGGCACCTTGCTCACAAGCAACCACCTCCCCTCAATGAAAACACTAAACAATCTCCAGCGTGGTATACATTTGTATTGGGGGAACATCTGTTATTTGGGGGCGGGGTGGCTTTGGATGCCAGGGGCGGAACGGGAATCAAACATTAACACGCCAGAACAGCTATAAGGATACTCAGAGCGTATCATCTCCCTGCCAGTGCTGCTGCTTTGCATTCTTGCCGCTGTGCCATATGAGCTATAGTCGAAACTTCTAGTTTACCCCTTAATACCCCCGTAGTACTCCCCTATATAATCCCCTAAGACTATAGCTCGTCTCCTACCTTCTGGCAAAATCGTCCATGTAACTGTCGAGCAGTGAGTAGAAAGGGTCATCAATGCCCTCCGCTGTCTTGTTGGAGATTGCGAAGAAGGGCCACCGCCGCTCTTTTGCAAACCTCGGTTGCTAGAGTAGTCCAGTCCCCCTGCTGATAAATCCAGCCCATCCCCACTAATACCCCTCCTGCCACTTCAATCGATCATTAATCCACTTTCACTCTGCGGGGAAAGGAGGGATGCCATAGCGACAAGTGGCTTTAATTAGCATGGCAACTGTCTGATCCAAGGTAAGCCTCCAAACACGGGGAAAATAAATGCTCTGCAGGGCCCACTGCTGAAGGAGATGCCAGAAACCGACAAAGCAAATCTTAGCTGAACAACCTTGTTGATTTCTGAAGGCGGCAGAGGTCATAACCCTAAACCCTAAACCCTAAACCCTAAAGGCTGTAAGCCTCTAACGGCTTGGTGTTGCAAAGGCTGAAACGGCTACAGACTGCAGCCTGGGTTTGTAAAGGAACTGACATCAAGTTTCAACTATATGGGGGTTTCCCAAAGTTTAGGGCTACCTTTTTTGGGGGTACCCATAATAAGGATTATAGTATATTGGGGTCTATGTTGGGTTCCCCTAATTTTGGGAAACTACTATATGGATACATGTGAAATAGCAGCGGTAGGGCATGGTAGGCCTTCCCTGGCTATAATGGTAACGGTGACTTAGTTTAAGTTCCTTAACAGCAAACCAATAGCCCAGCCCAGGCACTGTTCGGCCTCCCCTTCCGTGACTTCCGGATCCAGGACGTCTGCATGCGTACCAACTAAGCCTAGGACAACAAGCAGCCAAGGGGAAGTTTTCTTCCTCTTAAGCCTAGCCTGTGAAGACGCTTGAGCACTCCAGGGGCGGGGGCGGTTCGGGTTCTGGGGTTTTGCATTGATATTCTGGGCCATACGGGCGCCGACCTTCAATCCAACGGACTGCACTTCGAGGCTCATGTGAGTAGTGCTTTTTGGTGGTTGAACCCAGTAAGATAGTATTCCTTATGATATAAAAAAATATACCCCAAAAGGAGGATAGAATCTTACTCCATATTGGGTACCATAGTATCCCCTAATAAAACACAACACAAATAACCCCTATATAATCCCAGTTTCCATTTCATTTTCCATTTTCTTTTCCATTTGATTCCCCATTATAGGGCCCTAAACCCTATATTGGGTACCATGGTATCCCCCCCAAAAAATGCTACTCATGCGCAGCCTAAGGCCTAAAGCTCGAAGCTCCCTTCGGAGTTTCGCACACTACTCCCTTGACAATGCTTCCGGCTGACCCTTGTTAAAAATATGATTTTGGTAACCCCAACCCCCAAAATTAGGACCCTATAACCAGCATATGAT